ATATATCTTATTAACCAAGCGCGAGGGCCGTACTGGGAGAATATCGGCCCGAGGTCTTGACAGTACGGACCGAGCGCAGCGAGGTCCGTACAAAAAAGACCGAGGGCCGATATTCTTCCAGTACGGTCCCGAGCAAGCTTGGTTAATAAGAGATTTATTATACGACTGAAGTTCAAAGGGACACAAGTGCAGTATCATTCGGGACCATTCGGGACAGTGCCCGGTCCAATACTGAGAGAATATTGACCGGCAATAGAGCATTTTGATTGGTTGATTTTAGTTAGCGGCCATCTGACTGCCAGAGTCGTTTAATAAATTATTTTGCATGTGATATTGAGTTCACAAAGTCCTGTGATATTAGTCAGTTGGATTTCATTGCTCAGTTACATTCATCCAGTTATATTCATTTTAACTCAATCATTCAGTAAGTACCGTGATCATAGTCCTCTAAATTATCTGTCTATTCTCTCCTTGATTGATTTTTTTAATGCAGAAAAGCCTGGGGAAGAAGAATGCCAGGTTCCACATGACTGGTTGTTTCCATTTTGTGAATCAAAAATTCAAGTAAGATGTTGAACAGAACATACCGACTTGTAGCGGAGTATTTTCAATTTACATGTTTTAAGAACCTTCCCGATTAAAACAGACTGAAGTTTAGGGTGTTGGCTCAATTAGGGGATTATCAGTTGATCCAGTGCCAAATTCTCCATATATTTACAATATAAGAATTGTATGTCAGATGATACAGAGAATTACGAATGGGATCCTGGGAGTGAAAGGGCTAAGAACTCTCTTGAAGGCTAGTACATGTAAATGGAGACTGATGGTGCCTGGTGTCCATGCAGGACTGAATAATTGATCATAGTTTTTCTTTATTTATTTCCAACTGTAATACAACTAGAGCAGACTATGGGAGTCCCTCCTTTTTGGCTGTTGTGCAGGTGAAAAAAAAATTTGGTGAAAAAAATTGAACTCTGGGAGTAAGGTGCACCTAACTGTCAATAATTTTTTTTCACTGATTTGTTTTTTTACTCGCACAACAGACTTTGCTAAAAAGGAGTATCTGCTTGCAGTCTACAACTAGTGTTGCCATGGTAACACATCTTGTGGTAGTTGAATGCTACTAGAAAAGAAAAGTTATTGAACAATTTTGAAAAAGATAGGTCACTGTGCTTCTTTAAGAGATGCGATGGGCCAATCTTTCCCCAGTTATGCCTGTGCTGGCTCTAATCACATGTGTCATTTTATCAATTCACGGTACATTTTGTGGTAGCTGGAAGCAAAGGGTTTTAACAATTGTTAATGGTGACACCATCTTTGTCCTCTAACAGATGTTAAGTAATAACCAATCAAAATGCATGTCTAATTCAGCCTATCCTATAATTGTTATTTGCACTCTGTCTACATTGTATCAATGATCTATGAGATGTTAGAAATAAAAGATAAGAATATTTTAATTTCATTTCATTTAACATAATTTATATAGTGCTAACTCCACTAATTGACCAAAGTGCTTTACAATTCATAATATTAAAATAATTAAAAAGATCCCACTGGTGATAAAATATGAATAAATTAAAAAGCTATTTGCAGATTTATTTATAAAAATATCACAGTGAATCCTATTCCAAATTACCAAAAAGTTAAACATTATATGCTTTTTCAAAAAGATTGGTCTTTAAGTGTTTCTTGAATAAATTAATTGTATCTAAACTTCTAAGATCTAATGGACAAGGTAAAAGAGAAACATTCTCTGAGAAACCTTATACCTAAACAGAAGGTCACAGAATACAACATAAGATGCAAATCTAGTCACCGGACGAAACTGACCGGGATCAAGTGAAGAACTATTTCCATAGTCTAAATTTTAAATGTGACCTTTCTTAGAAAGTGGTATTTTTTGGAGGTTTTGTTACATAAGATAAATTATGTAGTTTTTATCTTATGAATTAATGTAGACTATTGTTATTATTATTTTTATTATTATTATAATTATTATTATTATTGTTATTTACACTTCACTGACATAAATGCAATAGTGCTAACTCACTGCTCGTCATCAAATTCTCAGTTTATGCAGCAACTCTGGGGAACAAATGCAGAATGCTATGTTAAAAGACACAAACTGAAACCAGAGAACCTTTGCTCTGTCATTATTTACCTTAGTGAGGTATGTTCTTGCGCACAATTTATGTTTCACTTCTGGTGTCATATTTTTCTCTGTGCACCTTTTTAAGTGCAGTCGGTTCACTGTATTGTAAACCTTTTCCATTAGTACCTTCTCTTTTTCCCTGTACCCACGATGGTTATGCAATACCTTCACAGGTTGAAAGATTTTGTCCATTGCTGCCATGGCGGCGGAAAAACAATACAAGAACCAAAGAACCCAAGGTATTTATTTCTGATAAAAGATATTCATCAGCTTGGGGGGGGGAGGGGGGGGTGAGGGGTTGGACTGGTACAAACTCTCGGGTGAACATGAGCAAATGTTGCTAGTTGCTAGTTTGGAGCAGTGTGGATAACGCTTGAAAATATGAACCATCATTCCACCCAATAACTGGAGCAAACAAAACCCCTAGTTGCTTATTTGTTTCCCGTATAGGCGTGCATGTACGTTGCCATACCGATGGTTACTGCAACAATATCCAGTAAAATAAACGATTTTAAAGAAAATCACAAGTGGGGAGTAACGGAACCAAATTTGAGCCTCGCATGAAGATCGGAACCTCAGACCTTCCAATTCTGTGTCTGTTTGAAAACACCAACTGAGGTCAAGAGTATTATCTTGGATCAACTTGGATATGCACTTAAATGAACGTGTCACTGAGGATAGTTTGCTGATGGTCAAATAACGTTCTTCTGTCAGCTCGCAGAAATGAGGTTTGAGTTACATCAAGCATTCATAGACACCCTGAATAAGTTGAATTTGCGGTGGATGCGAGACCGTATCACAAGAATGTGGCCTCAGTGGGCGGCAGCAGCTAAACGATTTGCAGCAGAGGGATCGCTACGCAGGAAACATCACCTAAAAAAGGTAGTCATAGCTTGAGAATCGAGTTTGAGTTTAAGACACTAAAAAAGCCTCGATCTGCATTTTCTAGTGAACGATTTAATTCTCCGACGCAAACCAATAGCAAAGGAAAAGGTGACTAACACACTTATTTTTAACTCTTTCCATAGATTTTTATTTTCTTCGGCACGTATGCTTTTCAACCCATTTGGTTGGATATGGCTTACACTGGGGCACCTCTGGGGGAGATGGTGCAGTGGAGCGATCTGATAGCTGCGTTGTATATTTTGGGACATGATGTGACACTCTCCGTCAACTCTACCACGTACCAGGGGTAAGTTGAGGAATTTCCAGTGCAGTTTTAACACAGGTATGAATTGAATGTCGAGTTTTCCTATCGCCTCGCTCAGTTATTGGTCAAGAAAACTCGCGCCAGCTTCTCAACCAATCAAATCAAATAAAACAATTGCGACTTGGTCACGTTGCTTTCCCGCGCTTCAGGCAGTTTGCTTGTTTTGTTTTTTTGAGTTTCCCTAAGCGTTGATTGGTCCGGCGTTGAGATTACATGTAATTTATTTGAAATTGGTTTTACGGCATTTGATACAAACGTGCACTTAAAGATACTTCGAAATTTGATTAGTCTTGTATTTCTAGTCCTCGACTGGTCTAGAATGCTCATGCGGTCTTCTTAACTCGTCTATTTTTAAGATTAAGGCAGGAATGATTGCATCGTGACTTTCTCAATTTTCACTTGAAAGTAATCCGACCTCGCTTTAGTTTTACTTTACCTACTTTGCATTGTGATTGGTCCTGAAAAATCGCGCCATCCTCTTTACCAATCAAAATGCAAAACTAAAAACAATCACGACCTTGCCATTCACATTTTCCCGCGCTTCAAGCAGTTTGCTAGTTTTCACTTTGAGCCCTCATTGGCTTCTGATGATCATGATGTTGATCTTTTTTCTTACAGGTCGCTAAGATTACTCCGGTTTTGTCGTTTCGACACTAAATTGAAAACTTCTCTATGTTGGTGTTGTAGATGCTGTTTCCTTATGTTAAACTTGACTCCTCATCATGATTGGGTTCTCGTAATAATTATACCACTGATCATTGTCCGCAACATGATTCTGTTGGTATTGGAGCAATTGAAGATGTGTTCTTGTCGTATTATCTAGATTTATGTAGGTGATAACCCTTGCCTGTTTGCCTAACACTTGTATGTTTCTTTTTCAGTTATCTGTCTCCTCCAAAGTCACGGGGTTGTTCTGACGTGTTTGAACCTGAGTTTGACCTGATTTATACAGATTACAATGGATTGTCCTACATGAGGAGCCACATCGTTCCAAACATGTCGCCTTATCTGTGAGTTTATGGGTTAGGGTCAGATGTATGTGAGAACTGACTTTGCTCCTTCGTTGCATCGTCGCTTCGTTGCCTCGTCGCTTCGTTGCCTCGTCGCTTCGTTGCTTCGTCGCTTCGTTGCCTCGTCGCTTCGTTGCCTCGTCGCTTCGTTGCCTCGTCGCTTCGTTGCCTCGTCGCTTCGTTGCCTCGTCGCCTCGTTGCCTCGTCGCTTCGTTGCCTCGTCGCTTCCTTGCCTCGTCGCTTCGTTGCTTCGTTGCCTCGTCGCTTCGTTGCCTCGTCGCTTCGTTGCCTCGACGCTTCGTACCCTCGTACCTTCGTTCATTTATTCATCTATTGCTTCCTCCCTTTCTTCCCTCCTTCCTTCGTTGTCTGGCTGGTCTCGCTGGGTTGGTCATTCGTTATCGTGATGTTTTTGAATGATGCCTTGTTCGTTTCATCCGGTCGGTCGTATGGTGATCTCAGTTATTTCCTAGTTTTCGTATTTTCATTGCTCTGCACTTGTTTGTTGCTCGTTTGCCCCATTTCGTTGGATTTATCCGATAGTTTCCACATTTTTTTGTTACTCCATTTCTAGATGTCGAGTGAGAATTCTTGACTCCTTTGGAACGGAAGCACAGTTTAACTATGGAGCATATGGAGTGGCGATACCTGGCGAGAAGACAATGTGGGGGCGAGCTGATGTCAATCTGCGGCAGATCATGACAATGTTTCGTGAGCGACTTTCCATGCTGTTTGTTCAAGTTGCTTTTGCAAAACTTATTAATACTCTGGTCTTAGTTGGACTGTTTATGATAAACGACGACTTGTAAACAAACAATTGTTTATGAGCGCGGTGACTTTTATTTTCCTCTTGTCTGTTTTTGGTTTCTATGTATGTCTGTTTTGTTTGGTTAATTGAACCCTTCCTAGCAACGATATTGGATACCACCAAATAGAAGTAACAAACAAAAGATCATACTACAAACAGATTTAACGCGTGCGCGTAAACGAGATGGAAAAGAGGATCATTGTAATTCCAAAGGGTTTAGAGGTTTATAACCAATTAGTAGGGTTCTGAATTTGATTTTTTTCCTGTTTAAGGGTAACTGAGTCGTAATCCTGGTCTCAGAAATGTAATTATTATTTGCCCTTATGAACAGCTCATAGTCCAGATAACTTGTTCTTGGGCTTCGTGGTTAGTGAACCTATTCCAGAAGACGCTAAACCAATGAAGAAGAAACCGATTGGACTAGTTTATGGGAAAGACGTTGAATTCTGGAAGGTGAGGATTTTCAAGCCTGTCTAATGGCTTTCTAGTATGTAGTAGTAATTTTGTTCCCACGATCAGCTGTGGTGACGTCATTTGACTTCATGTTCAAAAGCTTCTGATCATAGGCATTCTACAACAGCCTGACAGAAACCTCAAGCTCAAAGAAGATCACATGAACCCTTGTAGAGAAGCAGACAATAGTTGATTGGAGAAAGACGTCGCTGCTAACAGCAAGGGAAAAAAACTATAAACGAAATATTGTGTGACACCCCTCACATAAACTGTCGCAGGAAATAGCTGACGCTCCTGCCTGTATGGTTGTCCATAAGCCAATTCAGCTGAGTGTATAAAAACGCTATGTCAAAATGGAAAAAAAAAAAAAAGAAAAAGGAAAAAGATAAGCTAAAACAATTGAGGGAGTGTAGGTGTCACGCTTTTAGTGAGGCATCCTTTTCTGTTGTTTGATAACTAAGTTACAAAGTGATCTCCTTGAAGCCTCGACCAAAATTTCCTTTCAAGTCAGTCTAAGTTCTGTTTCGTTTCTTCCTTCGCAGGGAAAAAGGGAATACCTTGACACGTTACATAAATATTTGGAGATACATGGAACGTACTTTGGGATGTCGGTATGTTAGCAGATAGAAAAATGATGATTGGAAAATTGCTTGAAGCAAATACATGAAGGTTGTATCGTATTGCTAACTAAATTGCCTCAACAAGCTCTCAGTATTTCTGCGTGGAAAGATTTGCCCTTATCTTTGATATCAGAGGGAGAGAGAAATTTCTGTACAAGGTTGTGGGAATAGGCAGACGAGCCTTTGATCGAACAGTATTGGTCAGTTCACGATCTCAAGTGTGGATGAGCCGCCGGTGGTGAGGAATCTCTTTCCAAAAGGAGAGCAGTCTTCCTCCAAATACTAGTCGCATTTATAATAAAGATTGCAACTTTTACTTTGCCGAAAATGTAGGTATAATGATTTCTTCTCATAGATCGTTTTTAGTGATAAAAATTACTGGTGTCTTCTTTTACAGGAAAAAGAGATTAAAGAAAATGTTCCTGAGTACGTGTTAGCACATGGTATTCTTAGTAAACCCGACTTGGAAAAACTTTTACAGGAAACTAAGGTGAGTATGTGGTGTGCATACAGAGAAACCTGCATTAAACGGACTCTAACTTAAGTACCAATTTTGGGTTCCCATCTGCACCCAACAACAACAATAACAACAATAATCTCTATTTGTACTCCCTTGCCTGTGTCAAGTTTAAAAACAATATTTAAAATAAATAGAGTACTGGCTGTCTGGAATAACCATAGGGGCAAGCGGAGCCAGGCAGCCACTAATTCTAAACCACCTATGAGATATCGTATCTACAGCAAGCTCCTCCGTTCAGTGGACGCGGACACTAAAATTGAACCTTCTTGGGAACCAAATTGTCTCTGTTAAGCGGACACCTCAAGCAGTTTTACTACTGATTTTTTAATATTTTTAGTAATGTTGAATTTTAGAATCGAATCCAGTCCGAGTTATTACACGAACCATGTTCATGGCTTTAACATGAGAGCCAGAGTTTTTGATGAAGAATTTTACGCTGTTGAACTGCTAACACAAATAAACAAAATAAGGAAGACTCGCCTTCTTTGTCAATAGCCATGTTTGCGATAGAATTTCACTCAAGTCATAACAGACAAAATGAAAAAACAAGCTCAAAACGGTCGAATAATTTGTCAGCGGTTTACCATTAGTCTGTGACAGACTAAAAATTGGAAGCTTTTTATGCGTAATTTAATAGTTACTTGTTACCGACGAGCAGAATGTATTTGAACGATCAAGAACGTTTTAATCGGCAATCATTTCCTTTATTCTCGACAATCTTAATGCTTGATTCTGGCACTGACTTTTTTTCAGTGAGATATAAGATGCTAATCATTCTTTCAAGTTAAAAGGTTAAGCAGACACGGGCAATAAACTTACATATTGACGGTGACGATGACGTCATTAAAGCCTTGTCTTGCCTGATCAAAGCAGCGTTGTGATATTTAATCATTTCAGGTATTCATAGGTCTTGGATTTCCGTATGAAGGCCCTGCACCACTGGAGGCAATAGCACAAGGCTGTATCTTTCTAAATGCCAAGGTAGTCGTTCATGTACTTGAAAGGAAATAGCTGATTTTAAGAGTGCTGTTTTTTGAGTGTTTTGATTTTCATTTTAGGAAAGCGTTCGGTACTAGTATACAATACTTAATGTTATGTAGAGCACTTTTGAATATGCGTTGTTAGCGCTATTTTAATATATATTTTCTTTTTGTAACGTGTCATTGTTACCATCAGCATCGTTATCGTCATTGTTTTTTATTTGTCATCATTATATTTTGCAGTTTGACCCTCCGCATAATCGCCTCAACACAGAATTCTTCAAGTTCAAACCAACACTCAGAAACGTAAGAAAATGAGATAATATTTTTGTTAAATGAAGTCAGTTTTGCTTCTGCGGAAGTCTAATTAAAAAGATTGGCCATTTTTATGTTGACGGGTACGTATGGTGCGACTCGGATTACATTTTCTACTGAATAAGGAGAACATAGCTTAGGCCCGGCTTAGGGAAATGTGTAGTCTTTTAAGCTCTTATATCTTGTTAAGCTATTGCGAATTCCCTGGGCTTTGCTATAATTTTAGCCATTTGTGTTTTCTTTAGATTACATCACAGCATCCTTACGCCGAAGTCTTCATCGGAAAGCCGCACGTGTTCACTGTTGATATTTCTAATCTTTCACTTGTAGAAGAGGCTGTGAAGGAGATCTTAAAAATTGAGGTATTCACAGCTTTGCGAATGAAGTGTCAATTTTTTATACGGTAAAAGCAGTCATTCACAAGAGTGAAGAGATTTAGGGAAGGATTGTGATAGGGACAATGTCGATATTTATATCTTGGAGAGATATCAGATGTCTTCAGGGTGAGGGAGTTACTGATTGTCTTAGAATAACCGTCTGAGTGACTAAAAGTATCTGGCTTATTGACTGACTGGCCAGCTCACTAACTAACTCACTGACTGGCTAATTGTCTGGAGTCTCACGGACTGTAGCTGGCTATCGGCTGGCTTATCAACTGAAGGAATGATAGATAGACTGACCAGCTGACTATCTGAATACTTGACCAACGAACGGGCTAAGGCTGAGAAACTGATCCACTGACTGACTGGTTGTTTGGCTTGG